CTAAACCCTTGATTGGAGGTTCCTCGATGTCCTCCCCAAAGACGGTCCGCAAACCCTAAACCCTAAACCCTAAACCCTAAACCCTTGATTGGAGGTTCCTCGATGTCCTCCCCAAAGACGGTCCGCAAACCCTAAACCCTAAACCCTAAACCCTAAACCCCACACCCTACTGGTCAAAAAGTAATTTTGAGATGATTTAATTTGTCATTTAAGTTAAAAGATTAATTTTTGATTAAATGAAAAACAAAAATGCAAAAAAGAAAAATTAAAAGAAGCACTTTTGCTGCTTCTTTTGTTTCCTTTTTATCACTTTTTTTCTCTTTTTTGTTTTTCTTTTTTTCTTTTTTTATTTTCTTTTTATTTTTATTTTATTTTCCTTTTAACTTTTAAAACTTCTTTTTAAAATTCTTTTTAATTTTTTTTAATCTTCTTTTTAATTGTTTTCTATTTTCCTCTTTAAATTTTTTATTCTTTCTTTAATTTTCTTTCAATTTATTCAATCTTCTTTTATTTCCTTTTTCCATTTTCCCATTTACTCTTTTTATCTCTTTTAACCTCCTTTTATGTTTAATTTATTTTTAATTTATTTTCAATTTGGTTTTAATCTATTTTTAATTTCTTTTTATTTTTAATTTATTTTATTTTTTATTTATTTTTAAAAAAGCTCTCTTTTGGTTCTTTTTTATTCTTCTTTTGATTCCTTTTATTTCCTTCTTGCATTTAAAAAATAAAAAGCATAAAACTAAATTAAATTAAAACTAAACTAAATTAAATTTAAATTAAACTAAAACTAAATTAAATTAAAACTAAAGATATTAAATTAAATCAAATTAAAATTGAAATAAATCAAATTAAATCGGATTAAAAATATATTAAATCTAATCGAATTAAATTAAATTAAATTAAATTAAATTAGATTAAATTCAATTAAATTAAATCGGATTAAAATTTAATCAAATTAAATTGAATTAAATTAAATCAAATTAAATTAAATTAAATTAAATTAAATTAAATTAAATTAAATCAAATTAAATTAAACTGAATTAGATTAAATTAAAGTAAATTAAATCTGATTAAAATAAAATTAAATCAAATTAAATCAAATTAGATCGAATTAAATCAAATTAAATCAAACTAAATTAAATTAAATTAAATTAAATTAAATTAAATCAAATCAAATTAAATTAAATTAAATTAAATTCATTTTGAATTCTTTTATTTTTAGGAGGCAAGCTGGGAGCCACTCTTTTCGTAATGCAAAAATTGGGATTTCAGCCAGAAGAGGTGAAACTTTTATTTATTTATTTATATATTTATTTATTTATTATTTATTTATTTATTTATTTATTTATTATTTATTTATTTATTCATTTATTCATTTATTATTTATTTATTTATTATTTATTTATTTATTCATTTATTTATTTATTCCATTTGATTATTTCCTTTTTAATCGTCTCTTTTAATTTATTTCTTTTTCTCATTTTTTTGTCTTCTTTTTTTCTTTTCAATTTTTAAATTTCTTTTCTTTCTCTCATTTCTTTTTTTACTAATCTTTTTATCCCTTTTACTTCTTCTACTTATTTCTTTTTTTGGTCTCTTTTATTTCTTTTATATATTTCTTTTACTTATTTCTTTTATATATTTCTTTTATTTACTTCTTTTATTTCTTTCTTTTTTTGATCTTTTTTATTTCTTCTATTTATTTCTTTTATTTATTTCTTTTATTTATTTCTTTTATTTATATCTTTTATTTATTTCTTTTATTATTTCTTTTATTATTTCTTTTTTATTTCTTTTATTATTTCTTTTTTTATTTCTTTTTTTAGACTCTAGTTTGTGGAGACAGCGGCAACGACGCAGATATGTTTTGCCACAAAAGCTTTAAAGGCTGCTGCGTCCAAAATGCCCAAAACCCTCTTTACCAATTCCTCAAATACCAATCCCCTGGGGGCCCCCCGGGGGCCCCCC